GAAACAGTTTGTTATATCTTAAAGATGAACATAAATAAACCCTACATCCTAACAGTGCCACCTCCAGAGACATGCCTAATGAATTCTTGCAGTTGTGCAGTGAGTGACATGTAAAGTCACATTCATATCATCACTGGCCATGGTAGAAGGTAACAGACAATTAATTAGTCATATTAAAGAAAAATATACTACAAATTTGGGAAAGTTTAGAGGGCAGGAATACGAAGACCATGGTAGAATGTTAGAAACAATATTCAAGAAAAAACACAAACAACAGAGAAGGCAAACTGTATGGCATTACATTCATAATATTAAAAGTATAGGTTTAGAGATAAAGATGAATTTAGTTTTAAAAGGAAAGATAAGGAATAATAAAAATGCAGAAGAGTGGTTGTCACTGTGAAGGACGCAGGGTAATGGAGCAATCACAGAGAACTCTCAATTATGGCAGTTCTTAGTTTTTTAATTGATTTTGGGTGGTGAGTTTATTTGTGTTCATTTACATTGTTTCCTAATTTACTTATTTTTTTTCAACAAACTAAAATTTTATATTTTACATAATGTAATGATAAAATTAATATTCAAACTAAGTTGAAAAATGTTTTGAAGTTAGTGCTTGTGTCCGAGGTTCCCCAGACCACCATCATCTTCAGTGATTAACCAGGACTCAACAAAACTCAGAAGAGCCTGTATGTGTATGGTTATGGTTTATTATGGCTCAAGAAATAGGTTAAAATTAGCAAAGGAAAAAGATGTGTAGGACGGTGTCCAGCAGAAACCAGGCATCAGCTTTCATGGGTCTGTCCCTGTGGAATCACACAGCAGTTAATGTTTCCTGTGTTGTTGCCTGACAACTTGGATGAAGTGTCACCAACCAGATATGCTTAACCAAGTTTTGGTGTCCAGGGTTTTATTGAGGGTCAGTACATAGACATGGAAGAATCACACCAATGTCTGTGGTATCTTGGTCTCCAACTGCCCCACCCAGAGTTCATACTGATACCACCTAGCCCAAAGCCCCAGGGATACCAAAAGTGTCATTCAACATAAATCACATCATTAGCATAAACTGTTAGCCTTGGGGCCCAGGATACAAAGATGCTCTTATTAGGTAGAGTATTCTAAGATTTCCGCGGTTTTCTGTCAGGATCCAGTCAAGGTCCAGTCCTGTAGACCTTTGGAATATATACAGTTTGGATAGCAAAGGCTGATTGAGTTAACCCTTTCCTGCTGAGTCAGTATATAAAAATATGTAATGCAAGATTCCATCTATTAACAATGTTATGTTTTATTGCATATTTTTGGATTTCTGCAATTGTTAATTATTCATTCTTTCAGTCTTTCTATCTTGTTGGCTGACTTTTACAACTGTGACATTCATAGGCTGAAGGTAATCTCTCTTTGTTCTTTCTTAATCACTAATGAAAATATTGACCAAAGCAAATTATAAAGTCATACATTTGAAAAATTTTAAATTAATTTTAATAAATTAATTACTCAAACAACTTTGAATGAATCAGAACATTTATGATATTTGTATATTAAAGTTGAGGTAACATTAAATATTCGAGTGAAATAAAATCCTGGAAAATTAGAAAAACAGAAAGGAAATAATACTGCAAAAGGGAAAACAATTTACATTAATAGATAAGGGTTTAATATATATTATTAGGTCTAGAGAAACAGAATAATAAAATCATATACAGTGTAATAATTAGAAGTCTCAAAGTTTTGTCAAGTTAAGATTGTTTTTTAAGTTATGTGTAAAATATTTGGAATGTTTTTTATATGAATGCATTGAACAATAAACAAGAAAACATAATTTAAAAAATATATGAAGGCCTGGCAAGTGTGGCTCAGTGAACTGAGCATCGAACCCTGGTCTGAGAATTCCTGGTTCAATTCCCGGTCAGGGTCACTGCACATGCTCAGGTTGAGGGCTAGATCCCCAATAGGGGACATGCAGGAGGCAGCAGATTGGTGTTTCTCTCACATCAATATTTCTATTTCTGTCCCCCTTCCTCTTTCTCTAAAAAAATCAATAAAATAACATTTAAATATAAAGTATGGCTGGTGATCATGTCAGAAACATCCAGCCCTGGCCGGTTTGGCTCAGGGGTTAGAGTGTCGGCCTGCGGTCCAGAGAGACCCGGGTTCGGTTCCCGCTAAGGGCATGTACCTCGGTTGCAGTTTGTCCCCGGCCCTGGTCGGTCGTGCGGGTGGCAGCCACTCGATGTGTTCCTTTCATGTCGATGTTTCTCTCTCTCTCTCTGTTCCTCTCTCTCCCTCCCACTCTACCTGAACAAAAAATTGAAAAATGTCCTTGGGTGAGGATAAAAAAAAAAAAGAAAAAGAAACATCCAAACCTGGAGAGAATTTAAAAAATACAATAAATACTATAAATTTACACACAAAAAAATGAAATAAAGAAACAATCAAAATTTACATAAGAAGCAAATGTTCAATGAATTAAATAAAATACCAATATTGTTAAGTGCTAATAGTCCCCAAAGTGGTAAATAGATATTGCAAATAAGATTAGTTACATGTAAAGGGCTGTGCTAGAGAGAAGACAGAGAACATGTCATGTGTGAATATCATGTGTCTGAAAACCCAAACCTCAGAATAACTCCGTTTCAACTTACAAACATTGTTGTTATTTTTTTTTATTTAAAATTAAAACATTTAATGGAAAGAATATAATATTAGTATTTACTGGTAAAAAAAAAATCTTGGTTCCATATATGATTCATTAAATGCCCAGGACAAAAAAACGTGGAAGGAATCCAGCCAACAACAGCCAGGTGGTGCAGAATAAAGTAGGTGGCTACTCAGTGAAAGAGTGAGCACCTCTGAGAACAGCCTGATCATTCCGCTGCAGGCCTCCAGGCAAGGTAACTGATGTGTGTTGAGAGCCCGGCCCCTGGGTGCACAGAGAGCACCGATGAACCTCCATCTGGCCCATGTCACCTACGTGGACCACCGAGGGCACTGGATGGTTGAGCAGGGTTACCTGCTAATGACAGGTATAATGCCACATCTCAGATGACTTCAACATCACCTCTTCAATCAGGTGCCCCTTCAGAGGCAAGGGCAAGGGAAGGGTCTGGACGAATTTCCCTCCCCGAACTGTAAGCGTGGATGTCTCTTTTAGCAAGCCCTGATCTCATTTTCCTCCAGAGTTCTACTAACCCAACTACCTATCTACCTTCATATTAATAATGCTTAAGTTATCTTATCAACATTTGTTATAACTGATGTATAATTGACATACCACATTATTTCGTTTCGGCTATAAAAGATAATGAATTAATATTTGTACCAAAGAACTCATATGCTTATATGCATAACCAATGCATATAGTCAACAATGCTAAAAGGGTGGGGGGGGGGCAGGATGTGAACAAGGGGGTCTGGGAAGGAGAAGGAGAACCATCTGTAACAAAAATAAATTAATACAAATTGAGAAAATAAAATAAATAAAACTGTTTAGTCTAAGGTAAATATATATCTATATTTGTATTCATTGTGAAATCACCACAGTAATTGTAGCTATTATCCATCACTCTGTATACTTGTATACTTGCTAAAAATGTTTTCCTTGTGATGAGTAGGTTTAAAATGTACTACCTTTGAAACATTCAAGTATGCATTATAGTCATATTAACTCCAGTCACCATGCTGTACATGCATCTCCATGAAATATGTATTTTATAATTGAAGTTTGGACCTTTCACTTGCTTAGGTTTATTATTAAAGTCCATTGATTTCATTGGCAGTTGAAAGGAAATTTCAATGAGCAGGAAATTTGTGAGTCTATTGTTAAAAACACATGTCATATTCCTTCACTGAAAGTCCATCTACCTCCTTTCAAATCATACACTGATTAAATGCTTTGCTGCAGCTGAATCTGTTTGTGTGGCTTTGTGTGCTTGTGTCTGACCCATGAGGGAGACAGGAAGAAAAGTGTTGGAAGGTTTTAAAGGGGAGGGCATAGGAAAGTTGTAATTATACATTCTATTCAGACAACAGTTTTGTTGATAGCACACTTTTGCATAAAATCGTACTTTTTCTTTAGTGAATATATATGTGTATGGGGTAGTTAAGGAAAACAAAGGTTGGTGAGTTTACAGTTGTAATTTGAACTACAGTCCTGAAATTTTGTTTAAGCATTCTACTGGGGATAATTCAGTATATTAAATGAAAATATATTAGATGTAAAGCATATTTGATATATGTAATATATAGCAATTATTATAAATTATGAGTAGTGAATCAAATGCATAGGGAAAGAATGTATGAATAATTACAAATATTTTCTATGGATAGTTTCAGATAACATTGTGGCTTTGTTGCCAAATTGTCTTTTTCTGCTTTTCCCTAGGTAAAACTTTATCACAAATAGGTCTTTTTTTTGATGATCCAGTCAAGATACAGAATGATTTAGAAGAGAGTCCACAATCTTATACAAGTTTGGTATTTACCTTATACTTAGGTAAATTGAAGGTAGCTTTCCTTATACATTACTAAAATTTGAATATTACAGAACATGATTACTTTAAAAATATTCTAATGGAATACTGTAGCCTTGAACCAGCTTTGAAAGGTCATTAAATATTCCATTATTTCAGAAAACTAACCACACAATCTTGGAAATGAAGGAATCCCTTTCCTGGTAATTACATTCCATAAAGCCTTCTTTACTTCCTTATTCCTGAGGCTATAGATCAGAGGGTTCAACATGGGGATCACCACTGTGTAGAACACAGAAGCCACTTTGTCTTGATCCAGGGAGTAGCTAGAACTAGGTCTCAGATAAGTATAGATGGCGGTGGAATAGAACAGAATAATAGCTGTCAGGTGAGAGGCGCAGGTGGAGAAAGCTTTGTGCCTCCCCTCCCCTGAATGCATACGGAAGATGGAGAAGAGAACATACGTATAAGAGGTGATGATAACCAGCAGAACCCCCACCATATTCACTCCAGCAAAAATGGAAAAGATACTTTCTTTCAGGCGTGTGTCAGAGCATGAGAGCTTAAAAAGTGGAGGGCTGTCACAGAAGAAGTGGTGGATGACATTGGAACTGCAGAATGGCAGGCTGCTTACATAACTTGTGTTCACCATGGAGTTCAAGAGTCCCGCTGTAAAAGCTCCTGCTGCCATTTTAAGGCAGACTGTCCTGGACATGACCAAGGGGTAAAGCAGAGGGTTGCATATGGCCACATAACGGTCATAGGCCATTAACCCAAAGAGGAGGCATTCGGTTGTGGCCAAGGTGATAAAGAAGTACATCTGCAGAAAGCAGCCAGCAAAGGAGATGGTTTTCTCTTCTGACAACAAGTCCACTAGCATCTTTGGAGTGATGGTGGACGAATAGCAAACGTCCACAAAGGACAGGTTAGCCAGGAAGAAATACATGGGTGTGTGAAGTCTGGAATCAGCCCTGATTAAGAGGATCATCCCAACATTCCCCAAAACTGTCAGAGTGTAAATCACAAAAAAGAGCAAAAACAGGATAATCTCTAGTTCCAGAGTGTCTACTAATCCCAGCAGGATGAACTCAGTCACCAAAGTATAATTTGTTTTGGTCATAGGTTACAAGTATAATTTTCTTAAGCTTGTATTAGATTGAATGCTTTATTTTATAAATGTTTACAACAAAAGTTAATCAGGACATTTTTCCACATAAAAATACCTAGGATAATATAGCATACTAAATAGAGGAACTGAAATCTAGAGGAAAGTTAGTAGACTAATGGGCAAGCATCTGAATTTATTAAGCAATTATCTGCATTGAACCTAGGTGGTAGCCTCTAACTAAGGTTCAAGTCCACTTTCTCCACCTATGTTTTTGAAAATGCAACCAACATACGTTCTATTTTTTTCCCCTAGTAATTCACATCCAAAATGTTAAGGATACCAATATCCTTGCTGAAATGTCTCCCAATTTTTAAACAGGTATGTAGTTTTAACTGAAATAAATTTTCTCCTCAAGACCACTCTGTTTATTCTTCAGCTCCCAAGTTAATTCATTGCCTCCTAAAAATAGTTCTTATGTACTCAGGCAGTAAAAATAGTAACCATTTCAAATAACCAATATTTAACACCCTTCATATCCTGAAGAATAATTTTGTGATGTTTTATCAAAATATTGTTCTAGTTACAATGCACATTATCAAAACAATGTCTCTTTATAGCAGTAGCTACTTGTCCATTGTGGTGACTAACAGCACCAAATCTTTACAACAGTCTTCCAATTGTCTTACCTGGGTAGTCTATCTTTTTTTTTCCTTCTTATCAGCAGCTCTCAGTTATAGGTACCAGATTTTTTTTTTTTTATAGAAAATGTTTGTTTTCAAATGAGATGAAATACAGTAAAAAATTGATGACCTATTTGTGAAAATCCGAGACACCTTCTGAATAAATACATGTTGCTCCACTTTTATTTTGTTTTCCTAAAAGAGAATTGGGTGACCATGGGGACTAGATAATAGTGTTTAATTGTGAAGTCAAATCTCCATAGGCAGAAAGTTTCAGTCTCAAAAGAAAAGAGGATATAATCAGTTGCAGATATGTGGAATCAAACCTTGCATCATAAAGTGGTTTCCTAATCTCTGTATTACTTTAAAGTCTTTACCAAAATAAAAAATAACTTAATTACCTACTTATCTTGCCTGTCTTTTTGTATTTTTAGCTTATTCTAAATGAGAATAGCCCATTACCAAATTCTTCTTCCTTCCAGTGTATATGGTGCATGTGTGTGTGTGTGTGTGTGTGTGTGTGTGTGTGTGTGTGATCCTCCCTTTGTCTGCATAACTTGACTTTTAATCCAACCCTGTTCTGGAGTTAAAAAGAGAAGAGAAAACTAATATCCACTGTACAATGTTTAAAGCAAAACTATACCCTGAGCAAATAGGACAGTGAATAAAAAATAAAATTTCTTTGTATAATTTTTAAATTGTGGGTGTTTTTGTAATTATTGTCTATGATTCTTATCCTATGCAGGGGATGAAATTACTTACAGATTTTCTAGACCCCAATTCACAAATAAACAAAGTGAAATAAACCACATTGAGCATCCAGATGCGCAGAGAGTCTATTTGCATAGAGAACTCATAATGCAATTATGAAGTACTGTATTCTAATTTCCCATTTGAATTTGCAATTAACCTCTACACCCGTCTTTGACATTGATATTATCATTTTACATATATTGTAAATGAGGAAAACAAGACATAAAACTATTATATTATTTTTAATAAACGAGCTGTTAGGAAATGGGAGAGTCAACCTGAATACAATCTCATATGAAAGAACGAATACCTAGCTACTTAATTTTCCTGTCCAGTTTAATTTAACATATTATCTTAGTCACTTAGATTATATACATACATATATGTGTGTATATCTTCTAGTAAATCCAATCTTCCAACCTTCAAAGTGGTTAAAGTATCTTTGCATCATGTTAGATACTCTTTGAAAACCTGATTTGCAAAGTTCTCAACATCAAGCCTTAAAACCTACCCCACTGACATCTGTCAAATACATAATATGTATTTACTAATGTATGAAACTTAACAATTTAAAATGTGAATAAACTTAAAAATAATTTGTAATTGAGATACCAGAAATGTGAATTAAGATAGAAAGAGAATCAACATAGTGAGTTATCATAGCAGGGGAAGGAGAGAATGTTATAAAGAAAGAAGAGATTAATATTATTTAACCATAAATAAAACAGGGCCAAAAAGGAGATTGAATTTACTGAACAAGAGATTATAATTGAAAGTCTTGAAAAAAAAGTTTCTTTAGGGAACCAGAAGAAAGAATATTAAATTTTAAAATTCAATTTAAAAATGGTCAAATAGCCCTGGCTGGTTTGGCTTAGCGGTTAGAGCGTTGGCCTGCTGTCTAGAGAGACCCAGGTTCGGTTCCTGCTAAGGGCGTGTAACTCAGTTGCAGTTTGTCCCGGGCCCTGGTTGGGTCGTGCTGGTGGCAACCACTCGATGTGTCCCTTTCACATCGATGTTTCTCTCTCTCTCTTCCTCCCACTCTATCTGAACAAAAAATGGAAAAAAATGTCCTCAGGTGAGGCTTAAAAAAAAAAAAGGTCAAATAAAAAGTTGGAAACTCAGTTTTTTAGTCAGGTTTATTGTGCCATAAGCTTCTTACAGTAAATTATCACTGCTTTTAGGTGTACGGTTGGGTGAGTCTTGACAAACACCTACTGTCTTATAACCACCACCATCAACACAGAATATTTCAAAGCTTAATAACTTCCATTATGCCTCTTTGTAGACAACTCCAGCCCTTCTGCCAGCTTCTGACAATGACTGTGAAAGCATTAGTGTGATTTACATTCTGTGTTTTCCCTGTTCAGAATGTGATCATCGTGTATGGAACCATACAGCCTGGCTTCTGTCCCTTGTTGTAATGTTTTCAGACATAATTATGTTGTTACTTTTTATCAGTTTTTCCCTTTTATTAGTCAGTAGTAGTCCATTCTATAGATGTGTCATCACTTGATGGCCATTAGGTATGTTTCCAGGTGGAAGCGATCATGCACAAAGGCCCTATTTGTGTGGACCTATGTGTTGATGGATCTTTGGTAAATAGGAGTGGAATTGCTCTCTCTTCCTTCCATTTTTTTTTATTCATCCTGTTTACCCCTGCAAAGGTGGAAGTGATCATGCACAAAGGCCCTATTTGTGTGGACCTATGTGTTGATGGATCTTTGGTAAATAGGAGTGGAATTGCTCTCTCTTCCTTCCATTTTTTTTTATTCATCCTGTTTACCCCTGCAAATTGATGCTCATCTGATCTACTACTATTTTTTTCATAACACTATCCTTTTTTAATAGATTTACTTTTTGTGTGAAATTTGGTTGACCATGTATGTTTGGATTAATTTCTAAAATTTTATGCTATTCTTGATTACTGTCATGATTACTGTAGCTTCATAATACATCTGAAATCAGATAGTGTCTGTTATAATGTATTTTCCAAGATTTTGGCTATTTCAGTTCTTTAAATTTACTATTTAGTTTTGGGTTGTAAATTTCTACAAAAGGACTGCTGGAGGTTAATCAGTGATGCTTTGTATTTGTAGATCAGTTGGCACACAATCAATGCCTTAACGAGTCTCTCAACCCATAAACACAATATATCACTTTATTTATATAATTTTAAATTTCTCTCATCATTATTTTGTTGCATATAATATTTTATTATATATACGGTTCTTATACGTATTTCATTAGACTTACCCCTATGTGTTTCATGTTTCGATGCTATTACAAATGATATTTTTTATAGTTAAATTTTTGAATTAATGTGCTATTTTTTTCTTTTTTCCAAACTTAATCATCTTTTTTCTTACTTTGTTTTCCCTTTTTGCCTTATTGCACTGGTAGACCCATCAGTACCATGTAGAATGGAAGTGGTAAGGACACACACATCCATGCCTTGTTTACTATATTGGTGAAAACATTCATTCTTTTTATCATTAAATATTATGTTAGCTATAAGTTCTTATATATTCCCTCTATCAAGTTCAGGAAGTGATACTCTTTTTTAGTTAACTGAAATATTTTGTTATGAATTAATGTTGAATTATATTAAATAATTGTTTCTCCATCCATTGAGATGATTGTTCGTTTTCTTTGTTAGAATGATAAGCTAGTGAATTGCATTGATTTATTTTTGAATGTTAAATATTTATTTACTATCTTCATAGGCAAATCCTACCTGTTAATGAATTTCTATTTTATCTAAGTGATATATATATATATATATATATATATATATATATATATATACACACACACACACACACACATATGTATTTTATTGCTTCAATTGTATAATGTCAAAAGAAAGTCAATAGTCATTAAATGAGTAAAATCTGCTGGACAAGTTATCTCAATCCTCACAAGAATCTGATTAGGTGGGCAATTATTATTCACAATTTCAAATTAATATAAGATGAAGTAGTTCAATGTCTCACAGTTGTAAAATGGCAAAACTAACATTCAAATCTAGGGGCTTCAGTCATAAACTCACTTATTCTTATATCTTATCATTCAGGACATATTTGCTTTGAGTCACTCAAATAATTGAGAAATAAACAAATATCAGGGTGCCTGGGAGTCTTCTTAATAGTACTGAGCTTCTATTTTAGGATTCTTTACATAACTAAATGCTTTAAAGTGTCTTTATGCATCTGATAGACATCATAGACTTCACAAGGTAAATCCTTTCTCCTTATTGTGGTATAATTTAAGGATTTCTGTTGTTGTTGTTGTTTAATTAAAGATCTCCCAGTGAAGGATACATATGTTATATTGTAACTGGCCACGTTATAATCAGTTATGTTACTGTTCTTTATCTTTCTCATTTAAAATAAATTACTCAAGCCACATCACTGGAACAAAAATAATTGTTTATTCAAAGTCCTCCTGGGGTTGGGGATTATCTTGGGGTGATGTCCCTCTTGTTACAAACTACATGATAAATACTCATTCCTTACAACATCTATGAGTAAAAACTGGTAAGAAAATGTTGCCAGTGTCTTGTACAAAATAAACTCTAGAATTCAAAATCCCAGCTGGTACCGAGGTAAGTGGCTGATTCTCTACAACATCAACAATCTTGTGTATCACAAAGGTAAGGATGTCTTAAATATGCATCTTCACTGACTCTCTGTGGGCTGGGGGGTGGGTAGGAGATGGGAGAGCACAATTCTCACTTACCTCAACCATGACAGTTTCCGAAACTTACTGTCTGATTTATCCCGTTCCTTATTATTATGAGGGGAAAGCCGACCGTGCCTCTTTTGGTTCTTGGGAAAATCCAATGTCTAATTAAATTGAGTAAGCTAAATTAGGTAAGCTAAACTTCATCGGTAGGATAAGTCTTCATTTCTGTGGGCACATACACATAGTCACATATAGAAAGCCTATTTTGTGTTTGTTTCATGTTGTGTCTGAAGCAAAAATATGCCCAGAGACTGAGATCGTCTTTGCCAAAAATTTATTTAACACAGGTTCACTGTGGGAATTGTAGTTTATAACAAAAACATTTCACAAGGCAATAGCATATAGGACAACATCTCTTAATGAGTCAACAAAGAAGTAACATACTCCAGACTAACCCTAGATTCATTATGCTATTGTTCCAGACAAAGGGGAAATAAAAGAAATAAAGTCCAACTGCAGTTGATATGTACCTTTCTACCAGTTGGCTCTCAGAAGAGTCAGTTTAGCCACCTAAGAGCTCATGTCCAGCTGCTTGCATTAACTCAAAGTCCTTAGTTGCCAGAGCATGATGCTGTTCTATCAGAACAGAGGTGCTGGTACTGGAAGGCAAGATGACCTCCTTCATGAGACGAGTGCACGTTTTCACCACTGCCACAAAGACTTGCCTTGGCACCATAAGACCTAATGTCTCAAGGTGTTTGGAGAGCTATTTAGGTCAGCGAAGGGTGGCCTTGCCCAGACCAAACACTGTCAGTCAGTCCTCATACACTTAAAAGTTTATTCATGTCATAGTTGCTCCTCCCTATGTTCATATTGATGAGCACTCAGTAGTACAAAGGTTTTGATGACACCATCCAGACCTGGCCTCCCCAAAATAAAGAAATTCACCTTTAGATCAGAACAATTTCACTTAAGCTATAAACAAGTACAGCCAATTCTCCAAGAACACTCCTTTGTTCAACATACTTTCCCAGTAATGTTGATGTGATGCTGTAGGAACTTAACCTAATTTATTTATATCAATTAGTCTAGGGTAAAACTGGTTTTGTTATACCTCATTTCTCCAAAGCTTCAAGAACCTATCTATGATGTTACATGAGGACTTATGTAGATCAAAATAATGTCACTTCAGCCATAAACAAGTAGATCAAAATGAGTTCACTTAAGTCATAAATAAGTGTATTGCAAATTACAACAAACCCCTCCACAACATTTCTGGAATTGTCAACTCAGAGAACTTATGATTTCCAAATCAGATGTTAACTTATCAATGATCATAATGGCATTAATGTAATAATAGATAATTGATATATTTTTATACCTCTGTAATATAACTAGCCCTATAAATTGTGCTGTGTTATCCAGTTTACTCTTGGTTTCAACATTATGGTATATTATTTGGCCAGTTAAACAAAACAAGGAAATTTAGCCATAAAGAAGTTCAGTGACCTGTAGAACATTAGATGTGGTATCTGCATTAAACTCAGTTTTGCCTATCTCTAAATTCTACGTTTTTAACTACTATAGCACAATGTCACTGGAAAACAAGAGCGAGCACATTCTGCAATGATACTTTAGACTGCGAAACAAAAATTTGTTCATGGGCACCAACAACAGCTTTGTCAGATGAGATTTCCTTGGAAACCAGTGGGCTCAACTTCTTTTAGGAGCTTACACTGATCTCAGCTCGAAGTAGTGGGACATAAATCCTTCAAGAGAAGTGGAACTCTTCTGGGGTTTCAGTCTCTTGCTCAGCAAACCCTCTAAACAGTTTTCCGGTTTCTTGGGCACCCAAAGAAGAAAAGTTAGAATTTGATCCCATAATCCACTCATGAAGATAAGGCACACAGAGATTTAAATCACTAGTGAACCTGTCACCTGCTGGATGATATGAATGTGACTTAGTCACCTAATATGAAAAATAAGAATAGATAACTGCTGAGGTTCTTTCCAGCATTAACATTTTATTTTTATATAATATCTCATAACATTCCTACAGCAGTAGAAAATATTTCAACACCACAGGCACCATAGTATTTTGGTGAAGAAGTGAGACCTGGACCCTGGGCAATTTAATTGCATCTCTGTACTTCAGTTTTATCATCTGTGAAGACAGAAATAATAATGCCCATCTCATAGGACAAGATGAGAGTTAAACACAATGAGGTACTTCAAGTGCTTAGAAATTATTATGCCCACTCACCACAATGTTAGCTATTCTTGATTGTTTTCATCACCACCACCACTATCATCATCATCATCATCATCATCATCATCGTTGTTGTCATCATTAATGCAAATATTGAGGTATTATAGCAGAATGTAAAAGTTTATAGAAACCCCCAGTGAAAACTATTCTAAGGAAAAATGTGATGATTTGCCTTTGTTGTGATGGTGCTGATGGTTTTACTTCATTTCTCTTTGGTGAGAGTTTGTGCAATTTTTAACATTCATGTCTGCTCTTTTGTTTGTGTTTCTATGGAAATAGCATGTTTTAATAAATTTGCCTGATTTTAACAACTATTAAAAATATCTGAACAAATATAAAAGTTTATTAAGCAATTATGAAGCTCTTGAATATGCACAGTCTCATTTGCCTCAGATAATAATTCCATATAATAAATACATAGAGTAGGTCAGACTGTGTAAAGGAAGAGATGATGACATAAAGATAAAATGATTTTTAGTAGTGGAACAAGAATTATAGGTCAGGTCTCCATACATTTACTACGTTGTTGATATTCTTTCTTGCTGTGGTCTCTTCTGTATCAGTGATACGAAATCAAGCCTGGTATGCAGGCAAATAAGATGTCCTGGAGGTCTCAGTGTCAGGTCTTGGTACTGTTATCATCAAAAGGCCAATGATGAGACTGACACCTTGCTACATGAAAATCTTTGAGGACCAATGGCATAGAATCTTCTAAATGTAGTATGCTTTTGTTATTTCTTGATTCCTAGAGGAAATATTTTTTATGATTATTGAATTCTTTATTAAATCTGTGCACATTTCTTATATAAGTGCCATATGGAATTTCCCATGTAGCAAATGAATTCATCACAAGTTCTTTAACCACTGAATTGATTTTTCTACCACAATTTTAAAGAGAAGAAAAGAAAGTTCCAAAGTGGGATCTTATATCTCATAAAAAGCTTAGAAATTACATTTGTGTAGCAGGGACATGTACACTTTTTTTTTTTCTCTTTTATTTTATATTGGGTTTCATTCACAATAGTTTAAGATACCCACTATTTATCATTTCCCAGTCAAGTTTTTTCTTTTCAAGGTCTGGTTTAAAAGAAGACTGATTTCTCTTCTCAGTGAATCTAGAAGATTGCAGGTTATTTTGGGGAGCGGGGGTTGAAAGTACTGAGCATGGCAGAGAGACTGGAACTCCATTGTTTATTATCTTCCTATTCACTGCAGTGTTTCTTACTTAAATGACTTCTAACATTACGTATCTTACATTATTTGCTGAATATTTGATCTCACAATAATTCATTTCTTATTTGTAGACATTTTATTTGTTTGTTTTTTCTTGATTATCTCTCCTTCTGGGTATATAATATATATTTTCCCATAAAGTCCCAATTTAGAAATCCATTACTAAGTGCAGAGATATAGTTCTTCAAAACAATGTTCCTGGGACTTCACACCAGGCATTGTCATACCTCAGAGAAAAGAAAGATACATAAATCTACAGAGATAAAAGAAATAATTATAAGGCAGGTTTAAAGGATATGTTGTTGCCCAACAATGCATTTGCACACAGCACACACACAAACAAAACCACAGTGGCTTTTTTTAGGGGGAGAGTCAGATCATATACCTATGATGCCGATGATTTAGGTACATTTTGAGACAACAATAAATATTTCAAACTATTGAGTAAGTAATTAAAAAGAAACACAAACATCACTTTATTTGTTTTAATAAAATTCATATAATAAATACTCATATTAGTGTTTATTATGTACCAGTTACATACATATTTTATAGATGTCTAATCACTTACTCCTCTAACCATCACAGAGTGGTTAAATAATTTCATGAAGATTATACAACCTGTAAGTAGCAAAGATAAGATTTGAACCCAGTTCCTCCATAATAACTGTGCTCTTAACTGTTACACTAAACTACCTTCCAAGATCACAGATGTTCTTCTGTAGAATTCTCTAGTTTACAGTAAAGCTCTTTTCAACCCTCCTTTACATGAAAGAATATGAATTTAGGATTCAAAAAACAGAGCTTTGCCTCTAAGCATTTTGACAAGTGTCATAATTGTAGCAGGTCTTGTCAACTGAGCCACTTTCATCCTCTTTATCTTGAAAGGAACCAATACCATATCATAATGAGCACTGCTTTTATCACGTGTTACTACATCTTGAAATACCACCTCTGAATAACATCCTCTGGTATCAACGATAACTTCTGATAACCTCTTTTAAAGAAAATGACAAAAAAAGAAACAAACCAAATCTTTCAGAGAGGGTGCCATGATTGTCCTTTTATTATCCTTCTATTTGTTTCCTCAGGAGGGAGCATAAAGATATCCTTGGTTCACCAGTCACTCAAGTCAACTCATGTCTTCTGACACCATCTATTTTGGATGAGAAGAACAGGAACACCAAGAAGATGCTGGAAAGTAATTGTACCATGCCAACCGAGTTCCTACTTGTTGGATTCACAGATTATCTCCCTCTCAAGGTCACACTATTCTTGGTATTTCTCATAGTATACACATTAACTGTGGTTGGAAATCTGGGCTTAATGCTTCTAGTTAACATCAATTCAAGCCTGCAAACCCCCATGTATTATTTTCTCAGCAACTTGTCTTTCTTAGACATCAGCTATTCTACAGCAATCACTCCTAAAATGCTGATGAATTTTTTAACCTCCAGGAAAAGCATCTCTCCCTCTGGCTGTGCACTACAAATGTTCTTCTTCAGTTGTTTTGCAGATGCCGAGTGCCTTATCCTGGCAGCAATGGCCTATGACCGCTATGCTGCCGTCTGCAACCCACTGCGATATCCTACACTCATGTCTAGGAGAGTCTGTACCTCCCTCGTTGTGCTGGCATACGTCAGTGGGAGTATGACTTCGATGGTGCACGTTTCCCTCACATTCACGCTGCCTTTTGGTGGCTCCAATATTGTCAACCACTTCTTCTGCGATATCCCACCTCTCCTGGCATTAGTGTGTGCAGACACCCATGTTAACGAGCTTCTGCTCTTTGTCCTGTGTGGCTTCATCCAGACCAGCACTTTTGTGGTCATCTTGATCTCTTACTTTTGTATCCTCAACACCATTTTGAGCATCAAGTCCTCAGGTGGCCGAAGTAAAACATTCTCCACCTGTGCTTCCCACCTCCTCGCAGTCACCTTCTTCTACGGAGCACTCTTGTTTATGTACCTGCGTCCTTCCACCAGCTATTCCCTAAACACGGATAAGGTAGTTGCATTGTTTTATACTGTCATTTTCCCCATGTTTAACCCGATCATCTACAGCTTCAGAAATACAGATGTAAAGAAAGCCCTCCAAAAGCTATTAGAAAGAAACTGGATCTTCAAATGAATGAGGATTTAAATCACAGAAAAATACTGAAGGCACAGCCTGCCCTTCCAAACTCATCATCAATGCGATAGTATGAACATCTTATGTGTCAACTATCCTAAATTTATTTCCAGAAATAAAGATACCTTTCCATCGTCACTTCTTCAAAATGGTTTTGTCCTCTGTTACAGAAATTATTTTACTCTGGGAAACATTCCTGAATTAAAAGAAATAACGTTTACTCTGGAATTAGTATTCTCATAAAGCTTTCTACACTAATACATTATATTCCTTATCATATTATACTGAAGGTCTACATTGACTTGTCTGTCAGCAACCCATGTTAGTAGTGTCTTGGCAGCAGGAAATATATATTGGTTTATTTTTCAATACCTGTGTAGCACCTGGCACAGGGGCTATTTTGAATTGTTCTTTTAATTTTAGTGTACTGTACATTTTGGAAAAACCTTGATGAGAGTGTGCTCAGATGAGCTGACTTTTACTATTCAGCCTTCCGTTGCATTAAGGGACATACGGTTGCACGAGGAAGCACATCAGCCCTTTTAATAGGGACCTATTTAATCTAAGAGTCATTTTTATTTTCCAAATAAATTAGTTTAAAATAAGTAAACTACAATGTATTTGGAAACAATTGATTATTTTTTTACAATTAAAAACATTTTTATTGAATTTATTGGGGTGACATTGGTTAATAAAATTATATAACTGTTTCATTTGTAAAATTCTGTAATACATTATCTGCATGTTGTAGGGTGTGCTCACAAGCCAGAAGTCAAGGCTCCTCTGACACCATTTATGCTCCCTTTACCCTCTTCTACCTCCCCCACCTCTCCTTCCCTTTAGTAACCACCATAAGGTTGTCCGTGTCCACAAGTATTTTATTTTTATTTTTTGCTGAATCGCTTCACCTTTTTTTACCCAACACCTCAACACTGCTCCCCTCAATGAGTTAATACTGCTCAGATATTCTAAAAGCAACACTATTGACATTTTGGGCCAAAACTTCTTTTTGGGGATTGGAGATGGTGTGAGGAGAAGCCTATCCTGCACATTTTAGGGTGTGTGGCAGCACCCCTGCTGTCTACTCACTAGATGCTAGTAGAATCTACCTGTTTATGACAACAAATTAGAGTGATGTCATTGTCTGAACATCAGTCAGAATAATAATTTGGTAACAACATCTCAGCTGTGGTTTTATTAATTTTGTTCTGCATTTTGTCCTTAATTTTTATGCATTTCCAAGATCTACTTTGATAATACCCATAAACAGAGAAAAGAAGAACATAATTTTAATGAAATAAATATAAAATTAAAGCTGAGTATATGTTTATGGAATAAACCACAGTGGAGAAGAAATGAGAATAAAGTAGGATATTTGTGACAATTACATAAATTTAATTAATTTTTCTGCTTCTGTCTATGAGGAGAGAGAATGCTGAGAAGCTTCATGGCATTTCAGTCAAAAAGTAATGCAATGCACAAACTTAAAAAACTAAAATAGTTGTTCCCTCTGTAAAAGATGTGCATTTAATTCAGGTCATAAATAAAGACTATGTGATAACTCTGCATCTTTATTTTCTTTACACTGAGCATTGGAGGACAGGGGAAATGAGTTTTATGGCATGAGTTGAATAATGCCAATTTTCCCACCGACATCAGACAAAAAAATTTGTAGATCATATTTAAAGAACACTAAATACTTATCTTCAAAGGAATACATTCATAAAATATTTCTCTCTGAATGTAAAATGTTTTCTTGAAACACATGAGATGTTTGCCATGTTGATGCCATAAAGATAGAGATTGGGAGTATTGGTTGAGAATCAAACTTGCTCTTAGCTGCAAACACTGAAGTGTGGTGGAGACAACTTGCCATAATTTAAAACTGATACATTGCTATTAGTTCACATCAAGTTTGTTCTCTTATGATATGGTCAGATCCTCCATTTTGTACCCAAAGGCATGCTGATGTTCTATCAATATCTTCACAAGTGTATAAAGTGGCCATCATTCTTTAAATTTTGTACAATATTAGATTGACATGAGAACACTATTTTATTTATCTATATATTATAACTTATGTTAGCTATATGTTAAAATACCTAAGACATGCTAATGACTTAACAACAGAACTGAACAAAACCATCTACTACCCTTTTCAAACACACAAATAACGTGTATATTATTTGTATGGTTGAAAAGAGCTAATATAAAATTATTTTAAAAGCTAATAAATGTATGTGAAATACATACAACATCTCCACACTGTTCACAGCTCTATGATCCCTATTGAATAGTTGAAGTTAAGGAAAGAATACATATTTATTTATTTATTCTATTTATTTATTTATTATTTTTATCTTCACCCGAGAACATTTTTCCATTTTTTGTTCAGATAGAGTGAAGGGGGCGGGGGGGAGAAACATCAGTGTGAAAGGGACACATCTAGTGGTTTTCACCCACACCACCCAACCAGGGCTGGGGACAAACTGCAAACGAGGTACGTGTCCTTAATGGGAACCGAACCCGGGTCTCTCTGGACTGCAGGCTATGCTCTAACTGCTAAGCCAAACTGGCCAGGGCAAGAATACATTTTTATATAAATACCCCCAAAGGATGGCACACGATTCAATTAAATCTCAGTTTACTTGTGTGTGTGTGTGTGTGTGTGTGTGTGTGTGTGTGTGTGTACACAATCATAAAACTTCAATGTGAATTATTGTTAAAATTTTGGGGGTATGATGTCATGCATATCTATTGAGAAGACTGGCTACTCTGATTAGTTTCAGTCCCAAGAGACTGGAAAAGATTCTAATGATCCAGCCTGTGTACACCTGAGATTTTATCTATCTACTCCATGAGACACAGTTTGTGTCCCCAAAAGAAAAAGAAGCAAACAATAAACATCTCTACCCTGTATGATAGGTCTTTCAAGGATGATGAAAATGTGGTCTTCTCTAGACACTCTCCATTCTGTTGACTTTTGTGAGTATGTTTAGAAGTGTTAATGTTGGTTTATTTAAGCTTTTGATATGTCTTGTTATCTCCACAATAAAAGAATGATATCAGCTGTTATGATTTCAGGACTTTTCCCAAATAGTCAGACAATTTCCTGACCTGTGGTATATTTATCTTTCAAATGTTCTTCATATTTTGTAACAAAAAAAGAAAGAAAAAGCACTATATTTACATAATATCTGCATTTAATATGTGTGTGTGAGTGTGTGCATTTTTATGGTATTTAACATTTGGTTTATATAGAATCTAAAGCTACTTGTGTATTTATGAAAAATTTCAGATATTCAATGGGAAATTGGATATCTGAAGATTGTACTTTAGCTATATTACAGGAAAAATGATTTCTTTCAAATCTCATATAATAATACTTTTTGGAAATCTTTTAGATTTGATTTAATTTAATTTAATTTAATTTAATTTAATTTAATGATTCAAATCGTGACATTTTAAGAACTGTGTTCATTTTTCCTGAGTCTGCCACTGCATCCCATCTGTAACAGACCTGGCGTGCACACGGACACTTGGACTGGTTTTGCTACAACAAGCTGCTACTTCTCACTGCAGCACTGGTGAGCCTGAATAAAATGGTCTTCAAAGCAGTGAGCTTTGTTTTTATTTTATTTTTTTATTTTTTATTAATTCACTGTTATTTTTTTAATTTTATTTTTGTTACAGATGTTTCTTCCTTTTTATCCCATTGACACCCTCCTCCCCATTTCCCCCTCCCCCGTCCCCCCGCCCTGCTGTTCGTTTCCGTGGGTTATGCATACTTGCATATAAGTTCTGTGGTTTTTAAATTAATCTGTCTAAGCTACATAGTTTTAGTTCCTTTAGAATGTCAAAGTTGGTGTTGATAGTGCATTATAATTTTTAAATCTGTGACTATTGTTTGCTCTGTGTGTGTGTGTGTGTATTTGTTTTTTTGTCTTGTAGACAAAACGTTTTAACACAAACCATTCAATAAGCACTATTTTAAAGTACAACTATATTCATATATTTATAAATGTATATGTATAACATGTAATATAATACTTGATCAGTTATATATTTATTTGCATATAATACTCTAAAATATCATGAGTATTACTATCAATGTTAAAGGATATATATTATATATAATGTTTTATAATAAATTCAATTATAAATATTATGTCAACATAATCATATTTTGTGGGCAAAGCTCTATGAAATCATATAGTGAGTTCAAGTCTGGTTAACAACTATGGACCTACAGTATGGTGAGATCATATTTTGAGAATCATTAACCCTTTTTAAAATATATTTTTTCTTTATTGATTTAAGGGAGAGGGAGAGAGAGATAGAAACATCAATGAGAAAGAACATGAATTGGCTGTTTCCTACATGTCCCCCACTATGAAATGGGCCTACACCCTGGGCATGTGCCCTGACTGGGGATCAAATCGGTGACCTCTTGGTGCATGGGTCAATGCTCAACCAGTGAGCCATACCAGCGGGGCATCATTAGCTTTTAACTTGAAAATTTTTCTCACCAACATCTTTATCAAGAACTGTGTCTTTGGTCACTAATTATTATTTATTTTCTAATCTCCTTTTGGAGCCATAAATCTAAAATAAATTAATGTGAAAGAATTACATATGCTTTATACAAATAATTGTTTTTTATCCTGACATTTCAAGATACTAATGTGAAAGTTGGAAAAAGTGCCTGTGAGCATACCATTAGGGCATTAAAATGTTATTCTGGTATTTGTTTTCCTCAGAGAATTCTCATGCTTCTTAGTAATAAGAAGCTGTCTCTTATTTTTTCAGGAGAATGACGCTGAGTGCTGTCAGAAGCTCTGCATTTGGTGACAGAGGGATCTGTGTTCTCCTGGTCATTCCAACAGTATGACAGGAAATCATAGCTCCATTCTTGGTAACACTTTTCTCTATTTATAGTTTTCTATTATGAGTTCTACAGACAAAAGTGTTATTAGACATTTTACTGCCAACTTTTTGAGCCACACTTGTTTTTCCCTGTGTCCTGGTGTTGAATCTTTCCCATCAATATCATGTCAGTTCACATCTACCACATGCAACCTACGGTAATTAAAGTAAGCAAAAACTCCATTTTCTCCACCTTTTCTCTAAAGGATAAATGGGAAGATTATACAAATCATTTTGTCTCTGTTTCTTTTTATGATTTGTTGTAGATAGGCAAAATATACAGCTGGTGAAGGTTAAATTATACTGGAAATCAAGCCTTCCTGCTCTCATCTACTCCAGTGATGTGAAGTTCCTCGTACACTGAAGAGCTTTGCAGAAGAACAAGTGTGCCATTAAGAAACACACAAATGCCCCTTCAGCTCCAAAGTTTCCTTTCTTAAATGGAGCTTATTTCCAGGTTATTAAAATCTGATTCTGTTGTACAATCTGGTTATGTTAACAGTTTTTTATAGTATTAAAATATTATATTATACTCTCAAGATTACATCCCAAGTCTACCCCTATCTTGAACTCAGTAGACTTCAAGTTCCATGAGCGCACATCTCATATATTCTTCTTGAGATTTCTAATGCCTAATAGAGTGCCTTGCATCAATTCATGGTTGTTACTCTAAGCCACTGATTTTAGGTGAGTTGCTATATTAGCAATAGAAAAGAAATACATTATATAGTAAAGTATTTACCATCTCTCATGATTCACATCCCCTTTTTTACTTTTCTTCACAATACTTATCATCCTTGTATATAGTATATCAATAGGTATCCATTGATTTCTTAAATAAAATTTTAGTTCTCTACAAGAATGATATTTTTCTTATTCATTGTTTCTTCTCTACCCAACATAATTGTTCTTGGCACAGAGTACTAAGTAATATATATTTACTGAATGTATGAGGGTATATATAAATGAATTGATTTGTTAATATAACCATAAATACTGTTGAATTAGTATTATGTCACATCAGAAAACAAGTGAAACGAAGTAGTAGCATGTATTTTTGAAAGCAGAACATATGTGATACAGTTATATCATGAGAGATATAATTTGGGTACCTGATAATAACATCTTGCTTCTCTTCACCGGGTTTTGGGTTTGTGTTTTAATGCTGATAAACCCCACAGATGTGAGAGAAGTTATGAAAATGAAAAAGAGAAGAGTGTTCAAATTTATTTGCACTGTTGTGTTTTGATAGGTCTAAATACTGAACAGCAAATGATAAGTTTGTTCTACGTTGTCTCTGACTCAGCTCTTTAGAAAGCACAGTCATTGATCTTTAAAGGGGGAAATCTGAGCTGAAGTTCAACTTTGGAAAGGACATGGGTTGAATACTATGGAAATCGGTTTCATTAGTAAACTGGGTGTGAAAAAAATAGATAAAGAGAAATTGCTGTCCCAGAATGTCATTCAGTTTGTAGCTCATAAAAGCAGAGAACTTGTGAATTCCATAGAATGAGTCAGATATCTGGCCTGAGGCATATCTGGGTAAGAAGGTCAGTTTTAACTATTAATAGTTTCATGATTTTAATAATTGTTTCTTTATTTCGATTGTATGTTGTGTGAACTGAAAAGTGAGAAAGAAAATAATCTCTAGTTCTAATAAGGTGAATCACTATAGATGGATAATCTAGTACACATAAAGTCTACTGCTGCAGTTAATTTCTTTTCTTTATCTAACTGCAGGGTAAACCTAATGCTCCATCCAGTTAGGGATACTGGATCATGGAGGAAACACCATTTATTTTTCGTCTGTTGATATTTTTTCCCTACAACTGAAGCCTTATATAAACCTTCAATCATGGCAGTTTGGAATCATACAGTTGTGAAAGAATTCCTTCTGGTAGGTTTGACTGAAAATCCTAATTTGCAGATTCTTCTCTTTTTGCTTTTCACCATTACTTATTTTATCACTCTGATAGGTAATTGGGGGATGATGATCTTGATCTGGTTAAATGTCCGTCTTCATACTCCAATGTACTTTTTTCTTAGCAACCTCTCCTTTTGTGATGTCTGCTTCTCTACTGTCTTTTCTCCTAAGATGCTCATCAATTTCCTATCAAAACACAAGTCCATCACTTTTTCTGGCTGTCTTTTACAGAGCTTCTTTTTTGCAGTTTATGCAACCACAGAAGGGGTCCTCTTGTCTATGATGGCATATGACCGCTATGTAGCAATAGCCAAACCTTTGCTGTATACCGTCATTATGACTCAAAGGGTTTGCATGCAGATGGTCCTTGCATCTTACTCGGGTGGGCTCATTAACTCAATGACACACACAGTTGGTCTGCTCAAACTAGACTTCTGTGGTCCTAACATTGTGAATCATTATTTCTGTGACATCCCCCCTCTTCTGAAGCTCTCTTGCTCTGATACACATAAGAATGAGATGCTGCTTTTGATATTCACTGGAGTCATTGCAGTGTTCACTTTCATTATCATCATGTCCTCTTATATCCGCATCATCATTTCCATCCTGAGAATTCACTCAGCTGAGGGGAGGCGCAAAGCCTTCTCCACTTGTGCTTCCCACCTGACCGCTGTGACCTTATTCTATGGGTCTGGAACCTTTAGCTACATCCAGCCAAGCTCTCAGTATTCCCTGGACCAGGAGAAGATCTCTGCTGTGTTTTATACTTTGGTGATCCCCATGCTAAACCCCCTGATTTATAGCCTAAGGAATAAGGATGTGAAAGATGCAGCAAAAATGTCAACATGGTGGAAAAGAACTTCAACTTGACTCCGTCTTGTCTATGGATTTTTAACATGACACTAACCAGCAAATAGATAATTTCTTTAGAATTGTGTTGCAGATATATGGTCACAAACAGAACTACAATCAAGACACCTAATTGTAGTTTGAGATTTAAATGATAGTTTACTGTTCTTGCATGTAGTATTTTCTTTAATTGTTCTTTAATCGCTTCTGTAAGTTAAAAATGTTTCAAAATAGGCAGGAAAATATAGGTAAATGTTCTTATAAAATGATAGAATAATTTTACTTCTGGATAGATGGAGTAGCTTGTGATGAAAACAGCGTTTGTACAAAAATAACAAGAAAAGCAAGAGAGATAAAGACTTTATCTGTTGATGAAACTGAGTAGCTATTACAGAAAAGAGAAATGGTGTGATTTAGAATTCAAGAAAATCTGCAAGCTCTCAGAGGACTCGGTAGAGCTTTTGCCAGATACTTTGCAGGTTTCAACACATATGGTGCATTTTTTTTTTCAGGGAATTTTCCATATTCTAGGTCTGAGTAGGCCTGGACTCAACACATAAATAGATATAGAGACAAAGAGACAATGGATGATAGATAGATGATAGAAAGATAGATGATAGAGAGGTAAGTGACAGATAGATAGATAGATAGATGATAGATAGATGATATATAGATAAATAGAGAAATAGATTGATAGCTAATACACTGTAGATAGATGGACAGAATAGAATGGAGAACTTGTGAAATCAGGGAGAAACTTCTGGTGGTGTCTTAACTAACACAAATATTTAAGAAGTGATCTACCAAAAGGAGGACCATCTAATTGAACTTAAGCCCAGCGACTGCTTTGGGGGAAAGAAAGAAGAGTGGAGCTGTATGTAAGCAGTTATGTAGGCTCAAAGGTTAACTGGATTGCATGGAAGCTTGAACACTGAGCTATGTTCCCCGACAGGAATATTGGAGGGAAGGGGGTGGGTGGAGAGTCCAGGAAGCAGGTTGGTCACAGAGGCAGTCTGGAATCTCCTGCACTCTTGCTCTGCTTAGAAGACACACAGTCCAGCTGAGGGGCGTCAGCAGCCAATGTAATGGAGGTGTCCTGAGAACATTTCCCAGACTTTGATCCTGCTTAAGTCAGCCTCAGAAGGGCTCTCGTTTTCTTTCTGACTCCCTCTGCAGAGCTCTAGACTGAGCTGGGAAGACTGAAACCTGTTGGGCTTAGAGCTTGGTTGATCATGTTCCCCCAGAGATAAAGACCTGGATCAAACACAAGGTGGCCCCTTCAAGGTGTTTGCTGTGTTTTGAAGATGCATAAAGAAGAGGCTAAATTCATACCTCCATAGAGTTAAAATGGAATTTTCCGCAGTGTTGAAGGTCTGGAGGTACAGAGGCCCACCTCTTGGCACGTTGGGAAGTCCACAACCCTGAAATAGGGACAAGTATAAGGAACATGAAATCTAACTCCAGACTGGTCTAGTCTCAGCCCAATCAATAATTGATTTAACAGTCAGCTCCTCATCCTTATACCTTTTTAGAGAGAAAGTGAAACCTCCCTCCATGGAAAGTAAAGTCATCACCAGTTTGTAGGATCCACTTTTCCCCAGCTTTTATTGAATTTATTGGCACGGCACTCACATTTAAACAGTCAGAAAGTAAACAGAAGAGGCAAAAAAGTGCAAAAAAAACCCCCACACATATAAGCAGAACAACAAAGGTACATGCTGGATTTAGGAAAACAGTTTAAAAATACCATGACTAACATATTAAAAAGCAGAGAAAAAAGTAGAGAAAATCGTTTAAGATAATATATTTCAAGAGATAATTAAATAAGTTTAAACAGAAACATTCTATTATCTACTTCTATGAATTTTCTATTTTAGAAACCTCTTCTAAGCATAAGCACGTGGTATTTGTATTTTTGTGTCTGGCTTATTTCACTTAGTATAATGTCCTCCAGGAGAATGCATGTTATCACAAATGTCAGGACTTCCCTCTCTTTTAAGTCTTCAAAATTCTCTACTGTATGAATAAACCACATTTTCTTTACCGTTCATCTAATGATGGGCATTTGGGTTGGTTCCATACCTTGCCCATTGTTAATAGTGCTACAGGGACCTGGGAGTGTAACTCAGTGGGGGTGGGGCAGGGAGGATGGACAGGGAGCTGCTGTTCCAAGGGTATAAAGTTTCAGTTAGGCAAGATGAGTAAGTTCTAGAGATCTGTTGTATTACATATATAGCATATACTTCACATAGTTAAAAATACTGTAATGTGTACTTAAATATGTGTTGAAAGCCTGGATCTCATGTTAAGTGTTCCTCCAACAAGAAAACAGACACATGAGGAAACTTTGAGAGGTGATGACTGAAGCTATTACCTTGATTGTGGGGATGGTTCACAAGTGTATTCGTATGTCTAAATGAATCAAGTTCTATGCATTTAATATTTGCTGTTTCTGTATGTAAAGTATAACCAATAAATCTGTTAAAAAACAAATGGTATTCTGAGAAAAAAAGTTAAATAAAAGCTGAAAATAAGAAGACAGAAGAAGAATTTAGAGTGAATTAGACTAACCATAAGACAGGATTAATAATTTCAAACACAAACCAATATAAATGATCTAAACTAAAGAACAGAGAGAAAAAACTTCAGAGAATACAGCAGAGCAGAAGAGACATGTGTGTGATTAACTACATGTATGAAATACATGTAGTTAATGTCTTAGAAAAGCTATAGACAATATATACAATACATATTTTAAGATGAAGGGATGAATGGACTAATTTTTTTTTTCAAAACTTATAAATCTTCAACAGACATGTTCAAGAAGGGCAGAATATCCAAAGTCAAAAAATGCAGAAAAGCTCACACGTAAAAGCTTCATGGTAAAAGCATCTACAGTAAGATGCTGGGTCACTTTTTCAAAGAAGTTATAAAATGCAGGGCAAATGAAAGGAAAGGAAGGGAAGGGAAGGGAAGGGAAGGGAAGGGAAGGGAAGGGAAGGGAAGGGAAGGGAAGGGAGGGGAGGGGAGGGGAAGGGGAAGGGGAAGGGAAGGGAAGGGAAGGAAAGGGAAGGAATGAAAAGGAGGAAGGAAAAGGAAGGGAAGGGAAGGGAAGGGAAGGGAAGGGAAGGGAAGGGAAGGGAAGGGAAGGGAAGGGAGGGGAGGGGAGGGGAAGGGAGGGGAGGGGAGGGGAAGGGGAAGGGGAAGGGGAAGGGAAGGGGAAGGGAAGGGAAGGGAAGGGAAGGGAAGGGAAGGGAAGGGAAGGGGGGAAGGGAAGGGGAGAGGAGGGAAGGGAAGGGGGGAAGGGAAGGGAAGGGAAGGGGAGAGGAGGGGAGGGGAAGGGGAGGGGAGGGGAAGGGGAGGGGAGGGGAAGGGAAGGAAGGGAAGGGAAGGGAAGGAAGGGAAGGGAATATGTAATATTCTGTCCTCAGGGGAAAATTTTTCAAGAATAGAGAGGTGAAATAAAAACATTGAAAAGCAAGAGCTGAGAGACTTTTTCAGACTGTATAATAAGAATGACATGGAAGGACCCAGAGAGCGTTAAGCTGAGCAAAATAAACCCATCAGGGAAAGTTATTTATGGCACATTATGAACAAAATAAGCTGTCTATCAAAATAGACCCAGAGTGGTGGAACTAGGGAACAGACTGACAAACCTCAGAGGGAAGGGGGATGAGAGGATAGGGAGGACTGGGAAGAGATTAACCAAAAAACTGTGCAAATATGCACAATTTATGGAGATAGACAATAGTGTGGGGAAGGCAGGTGGGTGGTGGGTGAGGGGAGAAGGGGGTAAATGGGAGAAAAAGGGGGGTAGACATCTGTAATACTTTCAACAGAAAAGATTTTTTTCAAATTCCAAAATGTTTTAAGCATAAAGAAATTATCCCAATGCAAATACAGAACAGAATGAAGCAAAATGTTCACAAGGATTAATTTGCAGAAATATTCAAGAAGGTTGACTGATTAAAAAGTATAAACTTCTAGTTACCAAAGAAGTCATGAGATGTAACATACATCGTAGGGAACAGAGTCAGTAATATCCTAACTATGTATGTTGACAGAAGGGTACTAGATTTATTGTGGTATGGAAATGTCAGATAACGTTGTCGTTAACACTGATATAATATTGTATGCAAATATAATTAAAAATAAATTTTACTAATTAAAGCCACACTAAAAGTGATTTTCGGAGGGAATTTTAACATAGAGAAGCAGAATGTAGGATGAAAATGACAAATGATAGAAAAGAATAAATAAACTGTTGAAAGTGTTTCCCAGTGTTAAGTGTGCTAAATTACTGATTTAAAAAAGATTCTATTCATAGGGAGGAGGGTGTCAAAGGGGGAAAGAGGAGAAACGTCTGTAATAAAAATATTAATAAATAAAGTATTAAAAAAGATTAAAAGATTGTATTCAGCTAGTCTCGGTTGGTTATTCGGTTGACTGTTTTATATTTTAGATGTAATCGAGGTAAAAATTACATTGACATTAAAAATCATCACTGATCTCTTCTTTGTCTTACCTCCCAAACCTACCTACTGTCAAGTAGATTCTGGCTTTTTTTAAAAAAATATTCCCAATAACCGTGTCTCAGCACACTGTGTTTCTGTGAACAGAAGAATGCCCTTCCACAGGTTCATGAGAGACATAAAGCAAAGAAACATAGCTCCTTTATCCACACAATCAAATTATCACCTGAGGTTCTGGAGTCTAAACAGACTTGCATGTAAGAGCCACTTTTAAATATACCTGGAAATTGATCTTTAGTATCAGGAATTAATGCACGATTCATACTGTTTTAATCTTATTTGCACTCTATCTCTTTTCAGAGTATTCCTTTGCTTTTTCATCTTGGATAAATCATTCTCAATAAAATATTTCAGGATTTTTTCACATTTTAATTTTTTCCACTCATATTTAATGAAACACTTAACATAATTATATACAGAGGGCACTACAATAGTAAGAAAAAAATTGCAGAAAATACTGCTACAGAGATGAATTACGTGATTGTCAAACTAGAATGGGGAGCATATGCTATATTTTCCTTGTGATGCTTTAAAATATTTATCAGCAAATGAACACATTTAGAGGGAGGTTCGTTTCAGGGCACAGTCAATGCAAAACACTCACACACACACACACACACACAATAGTAGGTTTTATAAAAGGCTAATGTAACACTGGTCACGGTGTATTATGAAATTTTAGTTATAAAATAAGGATTGGATACTACATATACAGCATAATCACAATTATGCAAATCTGTAGATACACAAATAAGCATTAATGAATGTAAGAAAACAGTTGTGAGAAATTCATCAAAATGTTATAACATGTTTTACTTGTTCTCATTTTGTTCTTTCACTTTTGTTGCATTCTAATTTCTTCTAATGAACATACTTTATTTCTATGATAGCATCAAACTTTTAAACATAAAAGGGTTTCCTTGTGAAAAATGAGTTATTCTAACCTTGATGGTTTCAGTCATAGTCTAATTAAGCATGTCTCTAGAAGTATTCTCCACCAATGCAGTTAAAAATCTAAGAATCACCAAAAAAAAAAAAAAAAAAAACTAAACCAGGCTCTTCCTTGGGTGGTATCTGAGGAAAAACGCAACGATTTCCTCAAAACATAACATGGCTGCATTTAGTCCCTGAGTGTTTGTCCTTGGAAACATGCCAAGCGATCTTCCCTGGAAACTGCTCTCCAGGGATGAGCACCTGCTGCGTTATCCTCCAGCCCCAGTATATGAGGTTCCCTGGAAGAGGGACAAGATACACTCTGCTCCATTTATGTTCACAGTTGCTTCCTGATGTCCCTTTTAGACATAACTTCCTGGCAAATTTTCCATTTGACCAGGACCTTTATCAAAATATCTGTTTATTTATTTAGTTAGTTAGTTATTTAGTTATATATTTATTTATTTACCTCAGAACAAAACAAGATGAATGCACCAAAGTTTACAAAGGATGTTTCTCAAAGAAAAGAATATATCACAGAGATTTTCAACTTGAATCGTTTTCATAGTTTATTTGTGAGAAACACTTGAGGTTGACAAACTTCTAGACAGATCATATTGGCAGACAGGACTTTTTTTCCTCCGTTTGTGGCTCTGGGTAAGTATTACTCTCAGATTTGGACAGTTTTAGTTAGGGTCAGATAAAATGGGGGCATTTTCAGAAAAGTATATACACCTGTATCACTTAGGTCTTATCTAAGTAATGCCAGATTTTACAGAACCAGAAATATAGAATTAATGAAATTATGGGCACTGGGCATGTTTTAGAAATACAATTTTTAAAATAAATTTGATTTTTATGGTCAACTTAGGAAAACATATCTTTTGAAAATTAATACTAATAGATGGTGTATAATTTTAGCCCCCTCAGTTTGAAATTTATCTGTGGTTACCATTAAATAAGTTTCAAAATGAAAGGACAGTATATGAGGCATTGAAACTTTTAAAATCATTGTTTATGATATAGCTAGCATTTTCCTTCAGTTTTGCTCCAATTACAAATAAGAATATAGTGTAATGAGCATGTTCTCTGGAGTCAGACTATCTTGGAGGAATGACAGAGCCAACATTTAATATCTGTGACTCTGCATAAGTTGCTTAAAGTGCCAGTACCTTTCCTCATTTTAAAACTGTGGCTAATAGTAGCACCTTTAGTATATTATTCTCATGTGGAGTAATTATATTAATAAAGGGAGGCATTTAGACCAGTGTCAGGCTCATTCTAATTATGCAATATGTTAGTTTTTATTATATCATGCCTAAGGGTCAATGTATACCTACTTCTATATTTGGCAATCAGATTCATTGTTCTCCATTTTCTGTATACCCTTCATTATTATCAATTTTAGAAATATTAAACTAATGTAAATAAACCCCTTTGAACTTATTCTTGCCAAATATCAGCTTTATTTCTCCACAGTGTGAAGCAGTTGAGCACAATGGATGGAAGGAATAACACTAACGTGTCTGACTTCATCCTTTTGGGGTTGACAGATTCTGAAGAGATCCGGCTGGTCCTCTTCACACTATTTCTTCTGATATACCTGGTTAGTGTGCTGGGAAATGCAGGCATGATACTGATAATCCGCCTGGATCTTCACCTTCACACCCCCATGTATTTTTTCCTCAGTCACCTGTCATTTCTTGACCTCAGTTACTCAACCGTCATCACACCTAAAACCTTAGAGAACTTACTGACTTCCACCAAGTACATTTCCTACATGAGCTGCTTCACCCAGATGTACTTTTTTGTCTTCTTGGGTACCACTGAATGTTTTATTCTCTCCTCCATGGCCTATGACCGCTATGTAGCTATCTGCAACCCTCTGCATTACTCAGTTGTTATGTCCAGAAGACTCTGCTGCTCCCTCATCTCTGTGTGCTATTTAAATGGCTTTATGGACTCCATCATCAATGTGCTTTGCATGAGCAGACTGCATTTCTGTGACTCCAATGTAATCCGTCACTTTTTCTGTGACACTTCCCCAATTCTTGCCCTGTCCTGCACTGACACACAAGATGTCGAAATAATGATATTTATCTTTGCAGGATCCACCCTAATGATATCTGTTATCATAATATCTGTGTCTTATCTGTCTATACTGTCTACTGTCCTGAAAATTACTTCCACTTCGGGGAGGCAAAAAGCCTTCTCTACGTGTGCCTCCCATCTTGTGGGAGTCACTATTTTTTATGGAACTACGATTTTTACTTATTTGAAACCACGTAAATCCTACTCCTTGGGAAAGGATCAAGTGGCTTCTGTTTTTTATACTATCGTGATCCCTATGCTGAATCCACTCATTTATAGTTTAAGGAATAAAGAAGTGAAAAGTGCTGTCATTAGAGTCATACAGAAGAGACAGGGCTCCAGGCTACTAAAGTAACAGTGATGCAAAAGACTTCTCTGTTCTTTTTCCTATTGGGCATTTCCTTGGTCTCTCCAAAAACAATGAAAAACCGTCATTTCTTTGCGTTTCAGTTGAGCCGTCCCTTTTTATTTATTTTTTGATCAAATATAATCTTGGACAATTCCAGCAATATGACTTTTGAAATCCACATTGTAATTGCAAACCATTAAACATGTGTTAAACCCATAGTCCATATATATCTGTTTTTAAGGGCAAGTGAGGAGCAAAGGAGAAAATAGAGATGGCATCTTTGTAACCACAGCATACAAATTATCACACGTAACCCAATGACAGAGCATTTTCTTATGAAAAGGAGATCTGTTTATGGCACAATCATGGCAGATTTAGAAATCATTTTCTTTGTTATATGGAGAAGAGGTCGTAATAGGGTACTTAAGAGCAGTCAGGGCTCTGCATTTCTGGCATAGCCAGCAGGCAGATCCAGAGGCACTCAGGGCCCACGGCAAACTGCCAGTCTCCGTAGAATAAAGTGTGTTAGCTGTAAAACTCCTTTTTGTGTGTGTGGTGTTTCTTCCACCTATTGTCTTTTTTTTTTTTTTTTTTAGTGGTACGTGCCCCTAGCAGGAACCGAACCTGGGACTCTCTGGTCTGCAGGCCGACGCTCAACCGCTGAGCCAAGCTGGCCAGGGCCACCTATTGTCTATTAGTTCCCCCCACTCACTGGTGAATTCTTTTTCCTAAAATTAAATTTATTAGGTGGTGGGTTAATAAAATTATATAGGTTTTAAGTGTATGATTCTATGATACATTGTCTATATATTGCATTGTGTTTACCACCCAGAATCACATCTCCCATCACCATACTTGAGTTTTTAAACATTTAATTTTATCATTAAGAGTATTACAGGTGTCCCCCATTTCCCCCAATTTTCTGCCCTCTACTCATCTCCCACCCCACCCCAGGCTTTCACCTGTCTATCGTCCGTGTCCATGGTCTATGCATATATGCATGTAAGTTCTCTGATTAACCTCATCCTGCCATCCATCCACCTTCCCACTGAGGTCTGTCACTCTGTTTCTGCTCTGTCCCACCCCAACTATCACAAAGCTCAATGGACACAGGACTTTTCTTTGTTCAATGTTACATGCTCAGCACTTGGAATAATGCCTCAATAAATGTATCTGAAAGCCAACTTTACAGGTGATGAAACTGAAGCACAAGGGATAAAATAACTGTTTCACAGTCAGTCCACTAGGTCATATGGGAACCCAGACAGTCTAACTCGAGTTCACTGTCTCCATCACCACTCTATGATAAGAATACTACTGTTATCAGAGGTAAAAAATAGAATTGATTACTACATTAAATGAGACATAAATAAAACAGCAAGGACCTCTGAAAGGTGTAGGTTGCTGGCAAATGTTCTCTGAGCTGCTGATAGAGGACCATGTGATTTTGGCGACATTAGCTCCATCTCCTCAAACACACAGGTGCAGTCTTCTTTGCTGAAAGAATGACCCTGTAAAGGAAAACACAATTTGGCGAGGGAAGAATGCCAGTCAGAGACTCTGTATTAGTGAGAGTGCAGGCTGTCCTGGTGTTACAAGGGGATTGAGAAACAGAGTGTGTCCACAAAGAAAAAAGTATCCTTGGCTATAACCTTGCAGAGTTTAGCTGACTAGGGTTTGTGGATGCTCTTTTTCATGATGAGGTCTCCCTGGAGACTAGGTTTCTTCTATGTTATTGATCTGTTATCTCCCGGATATTGTCCTCTTCTGCATTGTTGGAGAGGGTTCATCCAGCACTCTGCGCATTTTATTCTGAGACAAAAGTGACATTTTCACATTGACAAAACAAGTCTCAAACTTTTGTGCATACAGTGGGGAAAGACTTCCTGCATGGCTTTTAAGGAATATGTTAATGTATGTAATAGATAAAAGACTATCAGATCTCCCATTTCTTCTGATGTGAGCAATTTCAAGCAATTGCATAGTTCATTTCATTATCAAAGTATTGTTTATAATATTCTATTTTTCTTCTAATATTTGTGGGACCAAGTGATTTCCCTTCTTTCATTTTTGATATTGATAATGTGTGACTTTTCTCGATTCAGTGGTGACCTTAGGAATTATAATATTCATGTTAATATATCATTGTAATTATAACATTTATGTTTAATATATCACTGTCAACTAAAAATAATATATAGCATAACTTTTAATGTAATGAACTTAGAGTAGTAGGGACAAAATTCTTCTCTCTCATACTTTGTGGTATTTTTGCCATAAAATATATCTTTATGTATACTTTATACCCACAATGGATCAGCATAGTTTTACTTTAATCATGTATTTTTAAGCAATTTAAATTAAAAATTCAATGTTTGTTTTATGTATCTGCATTTCTATATTTTTGGTATTATTTATTTATTTTGTGTGTGTGTAGACCCTTGTAGTTGTTTCCTTATTAAGTCACATTAAACACAAGTAAAGAGCTAAAAAACAGTTTCTTATATAATTATAACATTAATTTTTATCTCAAAACAAAATAAATATTGAAGGGTAAAATATATTAATAAAATTACATCTTTAAAATAACTTTAAATATAGAATGTGTTGAAGTAGATTGTTTGATGGACTAACAGCTTAAAGAATTGTAATATTTCATGAGAAATTTTTAAAATTTCTAAAAATTTTCCAGTTTCATTAGGTTATTGAAAAAAATTAATCAACATTTTTTTAAGAACATGAACTATGATTTAATAGGAATTATATGACAGTTTATGTTCCATTCCATTTGTTGTTAAAATGCTTAGCATTATATTGTCCTTTTTTGGCAAATACTTGGTCACTTGTATTATTTTTGGACTTCTAAAACTTGACAATGTATGTTTTAATCCAAAAGGTTTGTGGTGAATACTGGAGAATGAGAAGAAAAATTAAAAAATATATAATTTTCTTTCAAAGTATTACACTTGACTGATTATCTATTGCTGATTTTGGATTCAGTTAAACAGCAGTTAGGTAAAAAGTTACAAGTCCATACTGATCACTAATTAAAAATATAACAATAGCAAGATTTAATCATTGTACCCAAACATAAACTTTATATTTAAGAGTAAATAAACAGCAAGAAATCAGTTAGCAATTATAGAAAGAAAAATTTTTTCTGTATAGTTATTTAAATTAGGGGTCAAAGTGAAACCTGAACCTGAATTCAAAGTTTTAGCCTGTAATTTAACACTAGTTAGAGGATAAATTTTATTTAAGTTAGTTATCATGGTCATTTACTTAATTTTTTATATATTCAACCATAGAATATTTGAGTCAGTGTTAAGGGAACATAATCTGCTGAAAATAATATTTGGTGCATTATTTTAATTCATAGTGCAAGTCAAGCTCCAGTTTCAATACATTAACATGATTCCATCAGTGAGAGAGAACCATTTGAATTAGAAATAGAGAATAAAACACCTACAGAAAATCTTGGAAGAACAAAGTCAAGATTCCTTAGAAGAATTGCCAATATCAGGAGAAAACATTTTCATAGAATTATTGGGAAGATTAAAAGCAGAGAAAACAGGAAATACTCATGATAAGTCAGAGAAGGCAGAATTAGGTTGAATCCTTTGTATTGAAAATAAAAGCTACAACAAAACAAATTTGGGCACTTAACTACTTATTTTTATTAACTGCATGTTTTTGAGCTGCTGTAACACAATACAATGCTTTTAAATATGTATATCATTTTCATTTAAGAAATCTTAACAAATTAATTTGAGAAACCATATATATAATTTTAAAAATACCATGGGGAAGGATGACATGACAATTAATCAAAGGGAGGGTCAAAAGAAAGAATTTATATAGATGAGGTCAAAACAAAAATGATAGAAATAACAAAACAAATTTGGATATAATATAATGAAATCAATCTGTTTTAATGCAGCATTATTGACATTTTGGGTCAAGACTTCTTTTTGGGGGATAGAGATGGGGTGAGTAGAAGCCTATCTTGCACATTTTAGGGCATTTAGCAGCATCCCTGGGGTCTACTCACTAGATGCTAGTAGAATCTACCTATTTATGACAACAAATTAGAGTGACGTCACTGTCTGAACATCAGTCAGAATAATAATTTGGTAACAACATCTCAGCTGTGGTTTTATTAATTTTGTTCTGCATTTTGTCCTTAATTTTTATGCATTTCCAAGATCTACTATGATAATACCCGTAAACAGAGAAAAGAAGAACATAATTTTAATGAAATAAATATAAAATTAAAGCTGAATATATGTTTTATAAAATAAACCACAGTGGAGAAGAAATGAGAATAAAGTAGGATATTTGTGACAATTACATAAATTTAATTAATTTTTCTGCTTCTGTCTATGAGGAGAGAGAATGCTGAGAAGCCTTATGACATTTCAGTCAAAAAGTAATGCAATGCACAAACTTAAAAAACTAAAATTGTTGTTCCCTCTGTAAAAGAAGTGCATCTAAAAAACTATGTGATAACTCTGCATCTTTATTTTCTTTACACTGAGCATTGGAGGACAGGGGCAAATGAGTTTTACGGCATGAGTTGAATAATACCTATTTTCCCACTGACATCAGACAAAATAATTTGTAGCTCATATTTAAAGAACACTAAATATTTATCTTCAAATGAATACATTCATAAAATATTTTTCTCTGAATATAAAATGTTTTCATGAAACACATGAGATGTTTGCCATAAAGATAGAGATTGAGAGTACTGGTTGAGAATCAAACTTGCTCTTAGCTGCAAACACTGAAGTGTGGTAGAGACAACTTGCCATAATTTAAAACTGATACATTGCTATTAGTTCACGTCAAGTTTGTTCTCTTGTTATATGGTCAGATCCTCCATTTTGTACCCAAAGGCATGCTGATGTTCTATCAGTATTTTCACAAGTGTATAAAGAGGCCATCATTCTTTAAATTTTGTACAATATTAGATTGACATGAGAACACTATTTTATTTATCTATA